TGAGTCAACCTTGAGCCGGTGAGATTTGAACCGCTGAACTGCAGATAACAGTCAGCTGAAGTGGCCTGCAGTACTGCACCCTAACCCACTGCGCCACCTCGGCTCCTACCTGCTCAAGTTTCTGCCTCCCAATTATATCTTTAGGAGCTAATCCTTTTTAAATCTGCACTGGAACCATTGATTTTTGCAAAACATTAGGGCACTTCTTTAAACCTTTTTTTCTTAACGCTCTGACCCCAATCAGCTTTCCCTGAAAATGCATTAGTTTAGTTCAGATTTATAAAGTGCTCAGAAAGATCTCCCCAGCTACAAATCTAAGGTCCCCCCCCTCCCATATTATTTCCCTTACAGGATACCAATACTTGTCACAGAACACACTTTAGTACATTTTCTCTGCATATATCAGATGCTCCTGCTATGTTTGTAACTAGGACAAAGTCACATGCATAAAGATTACTCAGAAATAACCACGTAAGTAACATTTCCTTTCCTTTTCTGTTGGCTTATAAAAATACTCCTGTGCACAACAATATTTAAAGCATTTAAACTGAACTTCTAGAAGAGGATGGGATTAGCCCAATTCTGAATGTTTTGCTAGATCTTAAAGCCACTATAGAATTAGCACTCAAACTGTACAAACCTTGTCTGGAAAATCAAATACACATTTTCTATATCTAGGTCACAGCTAGCTTTAGGCTGATGCTGAATAGGCACTGGCCAAGGATATCCAAACTTGGAAGGGGGGGCACAAACCCTCCTTCTGAATCTTTCTAAAAGGCAAATCTTCACATCAATGGGAGATGGCACCTTTAGCCAATGTTGCTAAGGATGCATTTATCTAGGGGCATCTTTAATCTCTTGTGAGCTATCCATTTCTACTCTCAGACTCCAGGATGTGACGCAAATAATCACTTACTGAAATACAATTAGCAATGATAAACATCTTCCCCCCCCCCTTTTATCTATTCTTTTGGGACAAGCAGACAAATCTGCAGACTCTTCACAACTCCCCAGTAAATTAAATCACAGAACAATCAGCCATTGTTTTAATGTCTGCACATGCTTAGTTCGTCCGTGTTACATCTAAAGAAGACCTTTCATGAGGGCGTTGATCAGCCAGCCAGTTAAGCTTCTGAACTTTTATCACCATCTAAGAATGTTTAGGTTTAGGTTTCATTTTATTTATATGCTGCCCTATTCCCAGCGGGACTCAGGGCGGCGCACAAACCCAAGGAGGGAAAGGGAAACACAAAAACTACAAATTCAGGCATTTAAAAACAGCCAACAGCCACACAGATTGAGAGGGGAAGGGAACTCATCAACCCCAAGCCTGCCGACACAGCCAAGTTTTAACGGCTTTTCGGAAGGCCTGGAGAGAGGTGAGGGTCCGAATCTCTGCGGGGAGCTCGTTCCAAAGGGCCGGAGCCGCCACAGAGAAGGCCCTCCCCCGGATAGTAGCCAGATGACATTGGCTAGTAGACGGAACCCGGAGGAGGCCAGCCCTAATGGGTCTTTGGGAGGTAATTGGCAGCAGGCAGTCTCTCTAGTACCCAGGTCCAATATCATGAAGGGCTTTATAAGTGACGACTAGCACCTTGAAGCGTATCCGGAGACCAATCGGTAACCAGTGCAGCTCACGGAGGATAGGTGTAACATGGGTGTACCGAGATGTACCCACGATCGCTCGCGTGGCTGCATTCTGGACGAGCTGAAGTCTCTGAATGCTCTTCAAGGGCTGCCCCATGTAGAGCGCAAGGACTGTTGTTCGAAAGGACTGCTCAATTTTCACTAGGTGAACTTTATAAAGGTTTAATCTTTGTTTGCATCTTTTACAAACCATATAAATCTCGATTAGCGCACTGAAATACTTGTACTGGAAATATATCCTAGTCTGCATAAGAGGCATTACTGGTATGTCTAGGTAACACACAAAGTTTCAGTATAAATTCAGTCTATCACTGCAGTGTGATTAATTTAAATTGATTTTTTTGGGGAAAAAGTATAGATGGCTCAATTTAACATAGCTGCTCTGATGGAGAATTAGTGTAGTTTCTCCAAAAAATTAATTGTAAAAGACATATTTACCATCTGCACGATTAAAATGATCTCAGATGTTAATATTTTTTTATTAAAAAAATCAAAGTTTCCTCAACTAGGGGAAAACCAATACACAGAATTGAAATGCAAAAGATGAGCAAAATTTGTATCTCATATTCAGCATTTCTTTCACACAAATCACCTACATTATACATTGGAAACTGTTCACCAGAACATAATCTAAAGATATGGAATTACAGAATAAAAATAAATACTGATTTTAAATGAAAGGGTCATGTAAATATAAAGCTAGACTGTAAAGCCAGCTGCAGGCCTGATTCAGACAATAGGACAAAATTATGTTGTCCCTAACTTGATTCTGATTTGCCTTAGACTCAAACCATATTATAAACTATTTAAAGATTTTATTTAAGTTTAAAATATTTATGCCACTCTTCCAAATCACATTCTTCCAGGGAAATCTACCAAACAAAATTCTCAACAATACATAATACGACAGAATAACTTTAAAATAGTAATTCTAAAAAACAGCAGCCCAAGTAATTGAAGTATTTCTACATTTTATTTTGACGTGAGAAGCTTTTATGAAGCTTAATACTTTACACTTATTACGATTGTATTGATAGTCATATTTTGATATCTTCTTGCAACAAGTACTAATAATTTAATTAATTGAATTAAATTAACAATTTAATTAAACTAAAATACAGTGACATTTGGCATAATAATGTGATTTGTTTTGAGAGGCCGATGTTATCCAGAATTCTGCAATTTCCTACGCCTAAATATTATATAACAGTATTTGTTTAATGTTTTGGTAGGTATCTGCCATCAAAGCAGTGACTATAATATATTTAAGTTTGTTTCGTAATTGGCTGATTTCAAATAAATATGTTTTTCCTGGCATTTACTTGTCTTTACTTTTTTATATGAACAGTGTTACAATACGTATGATGAGATGAAATTCTACATTGAATTAATGCATGCATGTAACATGAGACACAGCTAGGAATTAGAGCATGTTTTCTCCAAAAGAAATATTGTTAAGCAATGGAACGGGCTTAAGTAAACAAGTAAATAACAGTAATTTCCAAGGAGACTTCCAGGTAACCTACAGATGTTTTGTGATTCTCAAACCTGTTCCTTAAATAATCTTTGATCATTGCACGACTAATTTTCTATTATTGTATATTCCCTGTAACAGAATAAGAAAAGAATATTTTCTTTTCATGAAAGTCAACACCTACCTATCATTTGAGCAATTGTCTTCTCATACTCTGAAACAATTTTCCTGTTAAAAGACAAAAAGATATGAAAATGAACATGCATCCACAGAAATTGATTTTTCTAATGCCGCCTCTTCTGTTAAAATATTACAAATTGGCTCCAAAACGTATGACAGAATACAGTTGTTACAGTGTGGCATTTCTTTAATCAAAAGATTAATTCATAGACAGCTAGGATGCTGATAAATCCATATTTATGCTATAAAATAGGTGATCTATTATGCCTAGACTGTGACCTCCATATTGAGTTTCTCAGTTTGTTCAGTACAAAGATAGATCTGCCATTCTATGTATTAACTTGTAGGTAGAAGGTTCTTACTGATCAAATTTTGAACTGATTTTGCCAGAAAGTGGTAGCAGAGGGGAAAGATGGATAGTTTCCACAGACCTATGTTAATTTAATTAGCAGTTACATTCTGAATTGCAGAAATGGAGGGGGAAAAACCTATTGCAATGTCCCAATTCTATGAAATAGCCATAAACATGATACTAAAAACAATTCAAAAAGGTTGCCTTAAACTTTAAAATGATACCCTATTTTGAATTTGCTCTCCCAAAAAAGTTAGATGATTAAATCTTACGTAAACAACTGAACTATTTATCTGAATTCTATAAGCTATTGATAGATACCTTGACATTATTTGTGGGATTTTTTCAAACAGAAAGCAGTAGAATATGTATTTATTCTATTTTATTTATTTAGTTAGTTGATTTATAACCTGTTTTTCTATTCAGTAAGTGCTGTCAAGGTAGTTCTTGAATACTAGAGTTTCTTGCTGTATCATATTCCTATGTTGAATTTATACTCATAAGTAAAGGAAAACTATTTCCATATTTATGGAAGATTATGTCTTATGAGCAAAACACACACACACACACACACACACACACACACACACACACACAGGGACTTCTTTCAACAGATCTATTTTGGTAAGCTGAACAGTTTGGCATCAGCAGGATGATTAAAAAATAAGATTTTTTAACTGTTTCATAAACTTTGAAAGTATTGATTCATAGAAAATTAAACCAACCTCATTTCCATAACTTCCCTCCTACTTTCTTCATATTTCTCTTTCCATTCTGAAATCATCCTTTCCTTTGCAATTATCTTTTTAAAAAAAGAGAAGAAATAAAGTTGTAAAATACTTTGCCACATAACATCCTAAAAATTGATAGAAAAATATAGCAAGATTATAATTAAGGCATCACGGGGGAGGTAAGGAGAGCAACTGATGAAACTCACACAATGGTGTTATCACACAAATGCTATGGTGACACACATATTTGCATCAGATGTCAGGATGCAAGTACATGATTGTGGCATATGTGATGTCACCATCTGCATGTCTTTTCTATGTCATCACTTTTTGCTGCAGATGCCACTTTTATAAAATCAAAATGTGTTGGCATTTCTCCCTCCTGCTAAGCTAAGACAAAGCACAAATACAAGCAAATTATACTTCTTCAAAAATCATAGTTTATTGCAGAGATTGGATATCTTTGGAATCCACAAGAAGCTCAAAAAATAGATCAGGGTTTTGTATGTCAAGTTTAGCTTGTTTAAGTCATATAAACTTCAATTCTCAGAATCCCTAGCCAGCCTAGGAATCCTGAAAGTTGAAATCCATGTGTCTTAAAATTTGCAAGGTAAGAAATCCTGTGAACTCTATCCACGCCTTTATGTGAATTCTACTGAACATACCTAAAGAACTACCTAAATATCTATATTCCCAAATACACAAAACTGTACCTAGACCAGGGGTGTCAACTTGACGCCCACGGACTGGATATGTCACATGCTAGCCACGCCCACCACTATTTTAGCAAAAGGGGGGAAAGTTGTGATACGTCACATGACGACGTGTTGTTGCGTGTTTGACATCCCTGACCTAGTCTATAAAAAGGTCTGATTTGTTTACTATATTAGTTCTAGGAAAAAAATTAACCTAGGCCTTGCCAAATATTTACCAAACTCTTTACCAACCCCCCCCCCCCAAAAAGTGCTCTTATGTAGTCTTCTGTTTGGTAAACAAAGAAATCCTAACAGACAATTATAATAAATATATCAACCATACATAGATTTTCTCAATAAATAATTATGATCAAAAATAGATGGGAGATGCACCAAATTTGCCCAATCAACTTTTCTGTAATGAATTCTTGCTTTCTGTTAACTATTATTAATATATATTACTATGTCCCTACATAATAATATAATATAATATAATATAATATAATATAATATAATATAATATAATATAATATAATATAATATAATATAATATAATATAATATAATAT